GTTTTGATTTGCATTTCTCTGTGCTTGTTGGCCATTTGTATATTTTTCTTGAAGAAATGTCTGTTTAGATCCTTTGCCCATTTTTTAATCAGGTTGCTTGTTTTTTTTGTTGTTGAGTTGTAGTTCTTTATATATTCTGGCTGTAATTCCCTTATCATATAATGTGATTTGCAAATATTTTCTCCCTTTCTGTGGGCTGCTTTTTCACCCTTTTCATAGTGTCTTTTGGTGCACAAAAGTTTTTAAGTTGGATGATGTCCAACTTATCTATTTTTTCTTTGTGCCTGTGCTTTTGTTATCATAACCAAGAAATCATTGCCACATTCAGTGTCATGAAGCTTTTTCTCCTATGTTTTTTTCCAAGAGTTTTAAAGTTTTAGCTTTTATGTTTAGGTCTGTGATCCATTTTGAATTAACTTTTGTATATAGTGTATGGTGAGGGTCAACTTCATTTTTTTTCGTGTTTATCCAGTTTAACCAACACCATTTGCTTAAAAGACTCTCATTTCCTTTTTCAGTGTTCTTTGCACCATTGTTGAAAATCATTTGACCGTATATGAGAGGGTTTATTTCTAGGCTCCCTAGTCTATTCCATTGGTCTATATGTCTGTCTTTATGCTAGTATCACACTGTTTTGAGTACTGTAGCTTTGTAGTAAGTTTTAAAATCAGGAAGTCTGAGACCTCCAACTTGGTTCTTTTTCAAGATTGTTTTGGCTATTTGTAATTGCTTGAGATTCCGTATGAATTTTGGGATGGAATTTTTTATTTCTGAAAAACAAATCACTGGGCTTTTGATAGGCATTGCATTGAATCTAGTAGATCACTTTGAGTAGTATTGACATCTTCCCTCCTTTCTTTTATCTTATTTCTTTTAATCTTATAACCACTTCACCGTATTTTTCTGATTTATTTGGAAACGAGATTCTCACAGTTTTAAAATTTATGATGTATCATCTTGAGCTTGTGCCATACCATTAGCTTTCTTTAGGACTCTATCTAAATAATGCAGAGGCCTATATATATTTATTTTTTTGTGTGAGGAAGATTAGCACAGAGCTAACATCTATTGCCAATCCTCCTCTTTTTGCTGAGGAAGATTGGCCCTGGGCTAACATCCATGCCCATCTTCCTCTACTTTATATGGGACACCGCCACAGCATGGCTTGACAAGCAGTGCGTTGTCTGTGCCTGGGATCTGAACCCAGGATCTGAACCTGCGAATCCCCGGCCGCCAAAGCGGAGCGGGCAAACTTAAACGCTACGCCACCCGGCCGACCCCCATGAAAAGGCGTATTTTCATACCCGCGTTTTCTTTCTTCATCTCCTTTCCTCCATCGATTATTTTCACTTTTCCTCTTCTTAGACTTAATACATTTTCCACTATCTGTTAACAGTCTGTCTATTAAAAAATGTTGATTATTGTTGCCAAATATAGGAAGATGGTGGGTTGAAGGTCAGAGAAGATGTGTACATGACTGATAAATTAAAAATATTTTGGATTAAACCCCAAAGAGAAGATAATGGGAAAAATGCAAATAATTAGAGAGTGGGAGGAGGGAATTATAGTTATTGTTCTTGGATACATGAATACCATATTTCAGCTGTGTTGAGGAATCGTTCAGACTTAATTGGTGACTCTATACCATACTTAATTTAAACACTGTATATAAATCATAGTTTGGCAACATCCATGGAACATTGATTTAAGGAATAGAAATATTATCTTCCATGTACAAAAGATTTTATTTGAATTGAATATATTCCCTGATCAGTTATGAACTGATTTTTAATAACAATGTTTTATATGAAGTATATATCAAATAGTTATATAAAGAAGTGCATATTCTGCTCCTACTAATATATTTTAGATAAGATAAATACCTATTATATATTTATGTTCTCTTGGATAGGTACCTTAACTCGATTGGGTATGTTTATTCCAGATGAAATTTAAGTTTTCTTCTAATTCTCTATTCTGCTTCAAAGGCTCTATTCAAAATATACCCTTTCTATGTTTTAAAGATGGGTTTCCTAAGTGAGAGAGGCTCACTATATACCAGGCACTCTTCAGTTTTATAGTCAGATCATCCTATGTTTGATTCCTCATTCTGTCTCTTAATAGCTATGTGATTTTGATTAAGTTATTTAGTCTCTCTTAGCCTCTGTTTTTTAATCTGTCAAGTGAGGATGACAATTCCCATATTGGAAGGATGTTTGAATGAGAGAGTGCTTAAAGTTTTTATTAATACCTAGCATGTAGTTGGTTGCTATCATGAAAAAGATTAATGACCAGTTCTGATATTTCTCAAAATGTAATATATTATGGTTGAGATAAAAGTCTGAAGTTAAAGTAATAATTTGTAAGTCAGGGCAATTCACATAAATAGACAAACCTGAAAGCATAGAGAGTTATACAAAGATTCATATGGAGAAAAAGAAGAAGATAAAAATAAGTACCTAGTATGGACAAGGAAGTTAATGTGCTCTGAGAAATATCTTACTAAAAATAATGTTTTTACCTGATTGTATCAATAATGACATTTTAGGGATTTTCTTCTGTTTACATTGTTTCATTTTCTTTTCTTACTCTAGTTTTTAAAGGTGGAGGTTGACATCATTGATTTGAGGCCTTTCTTGTTTTCTAATATAGGTGTTTAGTGTTATAATTGTCCCTCTGAGTACTGCTTTAGCTGTATCCCACAAATTCTCATATATTGTATTTTTGTTTTATTGCAGTTCAAAATACTTTCTAGTTTTATTTTTAATTTTTTTGTTGATCTGTGGGTTATTTGGAAGTACACTATTTCATTTCCAAATACTTGACAGTTTTCCAAATGTCTTTCTGTTATGATTTCTAGCTTAATTCCATTGTGTTCAGTGCACATACTTTATGTTACTTGAATCTTTTTAGATTTATTGAGACTTGTGTTATGGCCAAGAATGTCATCTATCTTGGTAAATGTCCTGTGTGCACTTGAGAAGAATGTGTATTCTGCTGATTTTGGATACAACTGCTATCACTGTCAGGTCAAGCTGGTTGATAGTTTGTTCAAGTCTTCTATATGCTTATTGATTTCCTACTTGTTCTGTCAATTTTTGAGAGAGTGATATTTAAATCTCTGACTACAGTTATGGATTTGTCTATTTTTCCTGCAGTTCTATAAGATTTTGCTTCAGTATATTTTGAAACTGTTATTAGGTGCATAAAATTTAGGATTATTATTTCCTCTTGGTGGTATGACTCTTTTATCATTATGAAATGACCTTCTTTATCCTTCATAATTTTCTTTGCTGTGGAATCTACTTGCACTGACGTGAACAGAGCCACTCTAGCTTTCTTTAAATCTTTTAAAATGTCTGCTAAGATCTAAGCATCTTGTTATTGTTTTGTATTTGATAATAAAGAAAAAATAGTTCTCATTTTGGTACTTAGTAGACTAAGTAGAACTTAGAACTTACTCTAATGGAAGAAGAACACAGGTTAATGAGCAATTATGATACAATGTGGTCATCATGAGACTGATGGGAATACAGAACTTGGAGGAGCTCGGAAGATCTAGGAAAGTTCTTTTATGGAGGTGACAACTAAATCTAAGCCTCAGGTTGAAAAATGAGTAGGAGTAGAAAGGCACAGTTGAGGGCAAAAGTGTTCAGAGAGCAGTCTCTGCAAAGCCTGAAGATAATAGTATTTTTGGGGACTGAAAATAGGGTGGCTCGAGTGTAGACTTTGAGTAAGGATGTGATCACATGTAACTGGAGAGGTCATCAATGCCAGATCATGAAGAGATTTGTAATAATAATTAATGGTGGCTCACATTTATGAGTGCTTACTGTATGATTAAGTGAGATAAGCTTATTAGATAGATAATATTGTTATAACCATTGTAAAATGAGGAAATAAAGTCTAGAGAGAATTAAATAACTTGCCCAAGGTTATAGAGACAGGAGATGGAGTTTTACCGTGGTCATTCTAACTATAGAATGTAAGCTTTTAACCATTATGCCTTTCTGTGCCTATGATTTAGTAGGCCAAACCGGAATTTGAACTTGATCCTGTTCACAATATGAAGCTCTTTGAGGATTTTAAACAGGGACGTAAATAAAATAAGTAAATACAGTTTGTATTTTGTGTTTTTAAAAGCATCACCCTGGCTACAGCTTATGTTGGGAGAAGTGTGGAGAAGGTGCCAGGAGATATAGTTGAAAAATGTTTTATGTTCTATATAGAGCATATAGCCAGCCCTGGTGGCCTAGTGGTTAAGATCTGGTGCTCTCATCACTGCCCCCAGGGTTTGTTTCTTGGTCAGGGAGCTATACCAGCTGTCTGTTGGTTGTCATACTGTGGCGGCTGTGTGTTACTGTGATGCTGAAAGCTATGGCAGCGGTATTTCAAATGTCAGCAGGGTCACCCATGGTGGACAATTTTCAGCGGAGCTCCCAGACTAGGACAGACTAGGAAGAAGGACCTGGCCACCCACTTTTGAAAAAATTGACCGTGAAAACCCTATGATGAGCAGCGGAGCATTGTCTGATATAGCGCTGGAAGATGAGAGGATGACACAGAAAAGACTGGGCGGGGTTCTACTCTGCTGTACACAGGGTCGCTAGGAGTCGGAATCAACTGGACAGCACTACCATAGAGCATATGCTAATTTTAAAGTGAAAGTAGTTCTTAATGTCTCTGTGGTTCAATTTCTTCATCTAGTAAATGGAAATGGTAATAGTCCCCTCCTCATAGAGTATAAAATAATCAAATCATATGGAATTGCACATAGTAAATAGTAGACTTTAGTTGTGACGGTGATGATGATGACGACGACGACGATAGACGCTTGAAGGTCAAGCTTAAATTTTAATCCTGTGTTTCCTTTTTCTTTTTCTCTTTTTAATGTAAGAGTTTTATCATAGAACTTACAGATATGACTTCAGTATGCTGCAGTACGATAAAATCTTTACTACTACCTTCTACTCCCCACTACTGTTATTTTGGTTTTTCAGTTTATGGGAAAAACAGATGGAGACTATTATACTCTGGATGACATGTTTGTCTCCAAAGCAGCTGAGAGAGAACGTTTTGGTGAAGAGGAAGAGAATCAGAGGAAAAAAGCTATTGCTGAGCACCAGAGTCTTGCTGCACAAATGGAAAAGTGTCTGTATTGTTTTGACAGCTCTCAATTTCCCAAGCACCTTATTGTTGCAATAGGTGTTAAGGTAAGAAATATAACATTTATTGCCCTAAGAAAATGATTTAGTGGTATATGTGGATTTGCCTCTTTCTTTATACTGTTGTAAGCTTCCTAAGGAATCTGTCTTCTCTTATTCTATGTTTCAGATATTTTTCTTTTCTAAGTTCCTATGATTCTTAGAATCTTCTTTAGCGTGAGTATAAATGTTTAAATGACATGAAGCTCACATGATTCTCCTCTTTAGAGAGACAGCATTGGATAGTGGTTAAGGCCTTGGACTATGGAGCCAGACTAACTGGATTCAAGTTCTGGCTCTGCCATTTACCAGCTGTGTGACCTTATTTTCATGATTGGCACCTGATTCTCAGTATTGCAGTCACTTCAGAGATACTCAGTCTAGGTTGGCTTCTCCTTCTTCCCTTCCTTTCTCATAGAACCTATTTGTTTTTTCATAGAATATCTCATAATTTGAAGAAGTTTATTGTATTTTGTTTTACTTGTTTGTTGGGTCTCTCCCCCAATAGTCTGTAAGTTCCACGAGGACATAGATAACTTTTACTCATCATTGTATATACCAAGCATGTATCCTGTTGTGTAGCAAGCATGTATGTTCGCACTCACTTATTTCAATAAATATTAATAATCACTTATTTAGTAGTCACTAGTTATAGTCATTTATTTCAATAAATATTTGGTGATTTAATTTTTATATTAAGTAAATAATTATTGTGTACCTGATATATACCTAATTAGTCACTGGGGAAAAGTAGAGACTCAGATATATGTGTGGAGCTTGTACTCTAGTGAAATAGGGCAGAAAATAAACAAAGTAGTAATTGCACTGATTTAAGAAAGTATTAATTGTCATAAAGCAAATAAAGCAAGGAAATGGGACAAAATGTTAGGAGAGTATTTTTTGAGAAGGTAGTCTAGAAGGCTCCTCTGAGGAGGTATTTTAGTAGAGATATGAAAGATGAGAAGGAGCAAGCAACATGAAGATATGAATGAATAATGTTTTAGGAAGGGGCATCAGTGAATTAAAAGCCTTGAGGAGGAAATGAGCTTGGCATTCATGCAACAGAAAGAAGACCGGTGTAGCTGGAGTGGAGGGAGTGAGAAAAAGTGATAGAGGAAGTTGAATGAATGAATGCTAGTTTCAGGAACTAATAGTTTGGGGAATATACATATATATATTTATTTATTTTATTTATTTATTTATTAAGTGTATACACACTTACACACACACACACACTCTCTGACACATACGCATACCCTTATGTATCCAAAGAATTGGCTTTTCCGTTCCAACTCTAGTCTTTAATATCTTTAGGTCATTAAGAAAGTCAGTTTATCAGTTTGAATTGTGGTTTCTTTAACTTTATTTCCTTACCTTTCTTTTTATTCTCCTTTCTTTCCCTTCATACTTTAACAAAAAGGTAAATGTAAAAATTCTGTTCAAAATGTAATCAGTTAAAAAAACCCCACCTTAACCAGTTACTTGTATTAATTTTTCTACGTTCTTTTCCAGACCTTTACATAAAGAATTACATTTTTATAATTCTGATATTATCTATAAATATTTCATTCTGCTTTAGTCTGATCCCTACCTTTAAGAAATGTAAAAATAAATTAAACATGAAATAATACTTAAATTTTTCCTACAGTGCCTTAGGAGACGTTTGGGTTATTTTCAATGACTTCATTGTCTTTAGTGCACTGAAGAAGACAGGCTGGGTCCAGGGAGGCACAGAGGTTTTAAGTGTACAAACCTTTTGTTAGCCTCCTGCTTTGTTGGCTGCATCCCAAAGTTGGCCTTTCTCAATTCACTGGTCAAAGGAAACTGTTAGCCAGTAATGGACATTTCTATTTCCTCAACTCATACTGCTATCTCATACATTCCTTTTTCCTTCTCAGATTTCCTCTTCTGCTGTGAGGTAATCCACATTTTCCAATCAGTCATTTCTAGTAGTATTAAATTCTTCTCTTTGCCTTCAGCTTACTGAGAGTTGGCTGATCTGTTTCTTCCCTCTTGGATTAGTCTTTTCATTCTGGTTTCCTTTTAAAACCATTTGAGTCTCTCCTTTCTCCATCTATGCTTTAATATGCTATCTCTGCTCTAAAAACTACCATCTACGTCAGCCTTTCATCTGTGAATATTTTAATAAAGAAATATTTGAAATATTGATTAGAAGGAATTCATTGATCTCCAACATCTGAATGCATATGTATTGTAGCTAATAGGTTATTTTATTAATAGGTTATTTTATTAATGAGTAAACAAGGACAAATTATTCCTTTCAGTTATTACCTAAGTTAATCATATATGATTATGAGTTTCTAAGGAATTATTTTGCCGTTAAGTGGAAATAATAAGCAATATTTCAAAGCAATTCAGTAATTCTTACTCAGCTTGAATTTCTAATATTTAAAATTAATGTCTTAAATCCAAATGTATTAATGAAACTATATTAGTAGTCATTAGAATCAGTTAAATAACTTTCTAATCATCAGCTGTCCCAGCCTTCTCCCTCCTTTTTTAAAAATAAAAGTCATCTGTCCACCTCCTTGTCTTAATACTATGCTTTACTTTTTTTAAAAAAATAGACTTTATTTTTTAGAACAGTTTTGGATTTACAGGAAAATTGAGAAGATAGTATAGAGTTCCATATACCCCACATTCAGTTTCCTCTGTTATTAACATCTTACATTAGTGTAGTAAATTTGTTACAATTAATGAATCAGTACTGATACTATTTTTAATTGTGCATATGATTGTCATTTTACTGTGAATTTAGGTAAATATCCATATCTACTCCTACTTTGTCCTCTCTCAGCAAAGTTTTAAAAATCTGCATTATTTTGTTAAGTAAATATTGTCTGCCATACAAAATATTTCTAAATAATAGAAAATAAGATCAGGCCCCTTTGCAGAATATTATTTATGCTCCTCATGAACACCTTTTGCTCACGACATACATATTAATTGGCCTTTTTTTAAGACAGTTTGTGTATAATGGAAAAATGGCACCAGCTTATAGGTAGTACATATATGTAAATACATAGAACTTAACCAGAGCAGTAAAGCCATACAGAGGTCATTTTCTTTCTCTCTTAATTAGGTTAATTCTCTTAGCCAGTAAGAGAAGGAAGGTCTGATTAACAGGCATCTCTGTCATCACCAGGCCATGTATCTTTTTATTCTTGCAAAAATTATGTTATTTCAAGGTCTTTGAAAGCATTTAGCTTCCTCAGATTGAGGATAAAGTATCTTTCATTCTGCCCTTAGGTAAGCTTAATCTGTGGGTCATGTATAACAGTTAAAATTGAGACTTATACTATACATTTCCAGTTTATTAAAAGCTATCTTTGTGGCTTTTAAAGTATTAAAAATACTAAATATCTTTAGAATATTAAAATAAAATATATTGCTTATAAGCAAGTATAGTTTATTAAATGTTAGATGAACCGTACTAGGGGCTTATCTGTCACAACTGAGAATAAAATGTAATAATATTTCACCTCTGGAATTTTTTTCCTATAGGTTTATTTATGTTTACCCAACTTTCGGTCTCTTACTGAGGGGCACTGCCTGATAGTCCCTTTGCAGCACCATAGAGCAGCTACCTTATTGGACGAAGACATCTGGGAGGAAATTCAGGTCAGTGTGATAATGCTCATTATCATTGTAATACTCATGAGCAATTTTTGCAGACTATGGTGATAAATTCTAACAGGTTTTATATGTTCATCCAGTGATTTTGCTTTCTGAACTTAAACACTTGTGTAAATTTCCATAGTTGTGTATACCTGCGGATCTTGATGTTTTCGCCAGTGACTACCTTTTTTTTTAATTTCCCTTATGTACTCCATGTTTTGAAAGCTTTATTTAAAAAAAAAAAATTTATTGAGGTACAATTGACATATAACATTATGTTAGTTTCAGGTGTACAACTGAAAGCTCTTGTCTGCTAAATAAAATGTGACAAAGTAATAATTATTTTCCTTAAAAAATTAAGATTTCTGGGGCCGGCCCAGTGGTGCAGCGGTTAGGTGTGTATGCTCCACTTCGGTGGCCCAGGGTTCGCAGGTTCAGATCCCGGGCGTGCACTGACGCCCCGCTTGTCAAGCCATGCTGTGGCGGTGTCCCATATCAAGTAGAGGAAGATGGGCACGGGTGTTAGCCCAGGGCCAATCTTCCTCAGCAAAAAGAAGAAGATTGGCATCGGATCACAAGGCTGGTCTTCCTCACCAAAAAAAGAAAAAAAAATTAAGATTTCTAATCTGTGCTTAAGTGGAGCATGAGATAATCATTCTTACCACAGTAAACTAATAAATTACAGCCAAAAGAAAAGATATTTTCAGATAATAAAAAATAAATTTTAGAAGTCAGAGATTTATATTCAGCAGTTGTCATATTTTCCCACAGTGGAATTGGCCTTCTCTGCTGCTGTGATTTTTTCACCAGCTTTAATTTTTGCACTTTTTCCCTTTATAACCTGGCCCAGCTTTTGGATTCAGGGATTTTTTGTGTGTGTGTGGCTGAATCTTCAAGAGATTGAAAGGCACAACATGGGTGAAATTGCTGCTGAATTATTTCAAGACCTCATAATGACCAAAAAAACGAAAGAAAACTTGTTTTTCTAATGCCTGACAACTGAATAGGGATTACAGGGACCCGCTAGTTAGAAAATGTGAAAATTGTAAGACTTCAAAAGAGACTGTATACTAGTCTTTGTGTCCTGCTGGTAAAGGTGCCAAAAGAGGAGGTATTTTGACTGTATTTCATGAAATTCAGTTTCTTACTCCTTGTGATCTTTAAGTTTATGCTGTGAAAGTTGAAGGCAGACAGTTTTAATGCATCTATGGCCAAGCAAGGGTCAGAATGTGAACAAATACATATGATGTAAAAAATTTTTTTTTCTAGTAGTGGGTGCCAATGCAGTAAATAATTTAAAGAGGAAACTATGCAAATTTGGTCTTCAGAATTATTTTGGGACTTTAATGGAATGCCTTTTAAAAATTTATACATGCAAAACTGATTTAACTTAGAGCAAAATACAGTGCCAAAAAGATTCTAAGTAATACAGAAATCTAGTCTGTGTGTTTTATATTTTTGTAAGAAATTAAGCTACTTGATGAAAAACATTGAGGTGGATAAAGAAGAAACTTATTCACTTCAACAGATACTGAGTAAATGATTATAAAGTAATCCAGGTATTGTCAGAAACGCAGAGATAAAATCATTCATTAATTCTGCCCAGTGGCAGAGTATATTCTAATACAGGTTATGTTATAGTTTAGCTGATTTTATAAGCCAGCTGCATTATGGAAAATTGAGGGAGGAAAAGCCAAATTGTTTTATACAAATAATGATATTATAGCTCTTTTTGTGTGATAAAAGAAAAAATTATTAGAAGTTGTAAATTACTGTAAGATAGTGAATGAATAAAATATCTGAATTATAGCTTATTTAAAAAAATGTAGATTTTTGAATATTTGTTTTTACTTACAAATATGTACAAAACTTTAAATTAATTATGGCCTGATGAGTATCCTTATGGTCATTCACCTCTTTTAGAGTATATATACAAACAATGATTTGACTTGGCAAAAAATATTGTTTGCAAATGCAGGAGCCACTTCTTTCAATTGATTTTTATTACCATTCTCTAGTAACATTTAATTGTAGACCTTATATTTGACAGAAAATGCCAAGATCAGTTTCAGCAGAGCATATGGGAATAGTCACAAGTTTTGAATGAATCCGATCCATATTTTTAGTTTTATTAAATATGTAGTGAAACTTGTTCCCCTTTAAGTTTATTCTTATCGGTTTGACAAATATGCTTGAACGTATGTCATAGACACTGTAGGTCCGTTTTTTAAATATCTCAAATTGGCGATGTGGTGGTGGGGTTGCTGATGCCTGTCTACAGTGGGCTTCACTGTGGAATGATATGATGGAGACATTTCATTGGGAAACCTCTAGTGTTGGTACCTTTAAGTCTTTTTCTTGGGGCTAGTCAGACTCTCCAGAAAAGACTCTTTCATTCTCTTGCCTACAGCATCTAAGTCTGCTTGCCAGAGTTCTGGGAGCTGAGTAGGGGAAGAAGGCTGGGCTGGCAGAATGTTGCACATTGAAGAACATTAATTAACATTTCCTATAATGCCCCTGTGTTCAGACTGTATGCTCTCAACTGTGTCTGGTTTTCCCAATTCAGTAACTTTATTCTTTACCTTCTCTGAAGGATAATCCTACAGTGTTCTGCTGGTGCGGAGGAGGGGATCGGGCATGTCGATTGCTTTTTTTCCAAAAGACTTTCATCTACACCATCTGTTTTTCACCACTCCTTCACGTCTGTTTCCATAAGTACTTGGTGCTGCCAATTCCTGAGCCTTTTGAGGATTCTGCAGTGCAGTGTGGCTTTATTCTTTACTATCCCTGCTAGGCCCCCTCCCCCTACACCCCCGGGCATGAACCAGCTTTCTAGTGTTTAAGTGAGATATTGCGGGGTGATCTGATTTTCACTGTATCTTCTCTCATTCTGTTTGTTCCAGTTGGTTTGTGCTGTTTTAAAAATTAATGTCATTTTTGAGGAGTCAGTCCGTGAAGGGTATAGAGTTAAATGTGTATGTTCTATCCTATCTCCTAATATTTATCTTTGGATTATTTTATCTTTAGACATGTTCTATTTAGAAAACTTGAATAAATTATAGTATTAATATTACATCATCAACCCTAAGTAGCTTTATATTTTTAAGGAAAATACTTTAATTTTCATTTCAAAATTTTTGCTCGTATTTACCTGATTTTTTTGTAATGTGACGATACAAACTAAGAATTGCAACACTTTATAGTATAGTTTACTTATTTATTAGTAATCATAGTTTAGGAATGCAGAAAATAGTGATTACCGAAGGGATGAAGTATTTTCTATTTGGAATATGGGAATTTTATGTCATCCTCAAAACATGGGATCTCAGTATCTTTCTGAAGCATAAACTAGTTTTGGTATCTTATGATAATGAACTAAAAAACTTTATTGTTTAGTAGTCATATAACTTTAAAAAAATGAATATTATTTAAATATGTATAGTGTATTTGTTATATTGAACTGGGGGAAATCTTGCTTTAATGGAGTTGCTAATCTCAAATTGTACCATTAAACTCATATTTTTAAATTAAAGTCTTTTAAATACATGGAGGAGAAGTACTTAAATGTGTGTGTCTCCTCGAAGCTATTAGTGTGATGTTTATATATTTTATAATTGTGAACTATTTTTGCATCACTACTAATTTAGTACTTTTGAATTTTCATTTATAATCCAAGTGATCTTGAGTCTGACTTCACTGTTGTCCAGATAGAATCTAGAACAATCATCTAACAGTTAAACCAGGAAAAGACTATGAACAAGCATGAAGTAAGGAAGTTTGTGAGATAATCTTTGGATTATCTAAATTTTTATTGTTATTGTTGCTGCTGCTTTTGATCTACTTTTTCCCTTCTTCAAATAAGTTTGGTTTTCAAATATATAGTTCCACTCTAGTAATGATTTTCCTTTTCCTAGTATATAAAATTAGCTTCTCACCACAGAACTAGATAATGAAATAAATAAAAAGTAATTGCAAATATTTATAGTAAATAAAAATTCACAAATATAATAACAACAAAATAGAGACAGTCTAAAGAACTATATTATTAAACCAAATTTGTATATTTTCCCGTTTGGTTTTGTTGTTTAATTGTTTTGTGCATGTGATACTAGGCGTGTAAAGATAACTATCTAGGATATACAGTTGAGTAGAGGGGAAAATAGGGGTTAACTCTTGTTACTTTCTGGTTCATCAGCAGCTTCAGTCATATCACTGATGTCGGTGAATTTGCCCATCTTACTATTCTTCACTGTTATTGCAAACAAAACCTAACTCACAGTACCTGAGACAGCAAAAGTTAATTTCTTATATCGTAGTCCAGTGTAGGTTGGGCAGTTCTCTAAGACAGATGGCCTCCAAGCAGTAATTCAGGCATCCAGGCTCCTTCCATGATAAGGCTCTCCTGTGGTGGAGTCCTTCTCTTTCAGCCCCTTGGATGGAAGAAAATGAACATAAGAAGACACACTACCTCTTAACTGCTTTAACACACAAATGACACATATCATTTCTACATGCATTACCCAGAACTAAACATGACCCCACCTAAGTCTTAGAGACGATGGGAAATTTAGTCTTCTTGTTTGCCCAGGAAGAGAAAAATGAAACAGTACGTGAACATAGCCTTTTTGGGAAGAGTTTTTGTCTGCAGAAGTCAGATTGCGGACAAGGCAGCTATAAAATTTGAATGACTAGTTTTACCGTGTAGATATCTATACCAATATTCTATATTTTATTTTTTTATCATATTTTAGCCTCAATTGTATGTGCATTATCTCCATTAAAGTGATTTTATGAAGTATAATACCAAAGTCAGGGAATTTTTAAAAGGAGAATCAATTATCTATAATAATCTATAATGATTTAGCTAACAATCACCTATACTGTCATACATCACTTAACGACAGGGATACGTTCTGAGAAATGTGTCGTTAGGTGATTTCATTGTTGTGAGAACATCATAAAGTGTGCTTACGCAAACCTAGATGGTGTAGCCTACTACACACTTAGGCTGTATGGTACTAATCTTATGGGACTACTGTCGTATGTGTGGTCCGTCATTGACCAAAACATCGTTATGCGGTGCATGACTGTAATGAGATTACAGATGTGAAGTCTGCAACCCTTTACGCTATTAGCCAAGACTTTGAGTTTAACAACAAATTGAGTGTCTAAAGAGCCTATGCTGAATTTATGTACAGCTGTGGTCAGAAATAAAAAGCGAATCTCATATCTGTTGCTTACTAGGTACCTTTCTAGTTCACCTTAAATTATAATTATTTGATTTTCTTTTTTACTTGTGCTTACTTTATAAAATGAGTGAAAAATAGAAAAGTGATGAGGGATCAGTACTAAGTGATCAGTAGAGGCCTGCTGGGAGCCCAGAACTCCCATCTTCCACCCAGCAGTAATAAGAATCCACTTTTTGGGTATCAACAGAGGTTAAGTGGGGAACCTGAACTTCCATCTCCACATGGCAGTAACGAGGCAGTTTCTTGACAAAAACCTGGTTCAATCTCCAGGAAATTACGGTGGGTGGAATATGCCAACCCCAAAAGATTACATGATTTCATTTATGTAACGTTCTTGAAATGAAAAAATTAAAGAAATAGAGAACAGAATGGTAGTTGTCAAGGGTTAAGAAAGGGGGTGGAAGTGAATGTGGTTATAAAAGGGCAACAGGAGGGATCCTTATAGTGTTGGAATTGCTCTGTATCTTGACTGTATCAATGTTAATATCCTAGTTGTGATGATGTACTATGGTTTTGTAAGATGTTACCGTTGGGGGAAACTGGGTTAAGGGTACATGGGTCTCTTTCTATTATTTCTACATATGATATATAATCATAAAAAAAAAGTTTAAATAAAATATTAAAAAGTTATAAATCAAGCTAATAAATCTAAATAAAAAATGTTTCATCCTCCTATTTAGACAAATACGCTTGAATAACACTCTACAAGGCCAAGTTTGAATTTCGAATTCTCGGATACCTTGAAGGTGGTCTACGCATGGTGGTGTGGGGAGAGTTGGCTTTTGGCTCCTATCCTGCAGCCCCTCCTTTTTCTTCCAATCTCTGGCTTTATGCTATACTACAGTTTATCCTGTGGATGCATGTGAACATCCTGGACTGCATGTTGAAGCTCCATCCAACCACCCTGTATAAGCAGCTGTCCCTCAGGCCTACAAGTGTGAAATAAATAAATAAATAAAATAAATAGATAGATAGATAGTAAAAAATAGTAAAAAAAAAAAAAAATGGGGATTTTATGATGATGCTGAGCTCTTGTGGAAAACTCTTACTTTTCAACTTTAGTATATTTGACTTTCATACACTTGGTAGGAGTGGATTATATGTGAAAATAGGAGACCGCTTGAATATACAAGGTTACAAGTGAAGAGTCAGCAGACGTATAAGTGAACCTGCAAATGAAGATGCTGTAAGCATAGGGAAAGAATTACAAGTGATTTCCTCTTGTCTGTTACTGAATTTAAGGATGCCTGCCTGCCCAGAGTACCTCTTTTGGTTTATGGATATTTTCCTATGATTTTACTGTCAGTTCTGCATATTTTGAAAATTAACTAAATTTGACTTTCTTTCTTCCTTTTCTTATTTTAGTTTACTGGAATCATTTCCAATATATACATAAAACTAGAGTGAGTTTCAGTTTAAAAAAAATGTTGCTCGAATATGTGAAATTATGTAGTGAATATAGAAAGTAAAGTAACTATAAGGTAACATTACAGAGTTCAGATGTGTACTATTTGTTTTTTATTTTAAAGAGATTTATTGTACTTTTTATTATTTTCATATTTTGAATCTCCTCTAAGTACTTTATTTACCTAGCCACTTTCCTTTCTTCAGATGTTCAGAAAATCATTGGTAAAGATGTTTGAAGATAAAGGTTTGGACTGCATCTTTTTAGAAACTAATATGAGCATGAAGAAACAGTATCATATGGTTTATGAATGCATTCCTCTCCCGAAGGAAGTGGGTGATATGGCTCCTATCTATTTTAAGGTATTTATAGATAGTCTTTGCATGCATACTTATTATTTTGCTACGGTGCTTGTTTTATGAATACAGTTATCTTTATTCCTGTGTTTTTTCCTCCTATATACTTATATAAAATTTTATATCATGTAAAGAAATGAAGTAAAGCACAAAAAATTCTCTGTATAAATTTCTGTAGAAAGAAATTTGGGATTTTGACCTTTAAACAGCACGCTTATTTACAAGTATGAACATACTATCAAATGGTAATTTATAATTTCTATTTTAATTTCTCATTTCTTAAATAAAAAATCAGCGTTTTACTTTGAAGTACTTTCAAGTCAAAATTATCGTCATAACTCTAGAAAGTTTATTGAAATTCCCAAGAACCAAAGATAGTACATACAAAAAGTATAAATTACAATTGCTGAGACAAGTTATTGCTGTAAGTTTTAGTATTTAATACCTCATCATGCTATTTGTAAAAACTGATATCTAACCTTGACATACATTTTTGGACATATAATGAATGACTAGCGTTCTTAATCAATTAAGTGTCATTATAATATTCAGGCATCTTTTACTCAATAGCATATGTTTGATGCTGACCTGAATATAATATAATTTGTAGACTAGTATAAATGTGTAAATGTAGAACCATATATGAAATAGTAACATACGCAGTGAAAAAAGAAGGTAATGTTTTGTGAGGTGGTATAAGAATCTTGCAAATGCAACATTTAGACAGTATAGGATGGTAAAGTTTATTAATATGGGCTGTAAATCCCAGTAAAAAGGATTATAAAACCTATTAAGATTATTGAGGTGGTGAAAACCTACTTTCTCTCTAGAAATTTTTAAAAATGATCTAATTATTTGATTTGAAGAATTATGCTATTAAAGTATGAGATAATCCCAAAGCCAGAAAATCTATCCCAGACCCATGCCAGTCCTATGTTAAACAAAATCAGTTACGAAAAAGATTATTATACTTTTATTCAATTTTTGTTTTTTTATTTCCCCCGTAGAGTCTTAGATGATTGTGAGTTTAGGCATTGAGGCATAGGGCACAACATAAGAGCACTCGCTGTTGCTCATGTTGGGTGACAGAAATGTCATCTCTTAGCAGAATGGTATGTTGGCTTTTCTACTCTAAACCTTTTATATGATCATTAAAGATACATTTATTTGATTTGGCTTCAATTTTATAGTGAATGTGCTACATTATGGTGTCAATACAAGCAACCCATGCCTTTTAAATAGGGAACAACAGTATATCTGATGTATTTAAATTGTGCTTATTTGAATGTTAATTGCATTTTAAAATTTGCTTCATTAATAATAATACTGTATAAAAATGCGATTATTTTATACTCATCACCCTACCTTTTCTATTAAATATTTTTTTACCATAAATACAGTCATTTTGCTTAGCCTAGAAAGTCTTCTAATTCCATTTCTATGTATTTTTTTCCCTGCATTTTTATTACTATTTTATGGCCAGAAATAGTTCAAGTACTTGCTTGCTAGAAAGCATATAAATTACTCTTTGACTTTTGGACGAAGAACAGTAAAACAAAATGAATTTATCTGAGTAGGTTTCTATGAATGGAGTAAGGAATTTGTGAACTTTTCTGTTCACAAATTATGTTCAATATTAAATTGCTTTGTCTTACTAAGGATTGTTTTTGTCATGTAAAGTTGAGCTGAAGTTAGTACTAGAGTTCAGAATGAGTATGATAGTATGCTCATTGGCTAAAGATAGGACTTTAAAAATATCAAGAACTTCCACTTTTAAATAATAGAAATTAAAGCTTTAATCCATTCAAAATAATCATCTACCATGTATAATATACCCTGTAATTAATTCATTGTATTACTTTATTTTTAAACTGTGTCTTTGTATTTGCTTATTTATATTTTTTCATTAACAAATGGCTCTTTGTTAGAAAGCCATAATGGAATCTGATGAAGAGTGGTCTATGAACAAGAAATTGATTGATCTTTCTTCAAAAGATATCAGAAAGTCTGTAAGTATCATTTTTTTCCCCTAATACAGGAGTTTACTCTAGTGTTTAGGATCATCGCTGATTTCCACATCTTATTTGGGAAAGATACCATTTAGCTGAGTAACCAAAGGTAAAGAAGAAATTATTTTCATCCTACCTGGTCTAGCAAATGCTTATTGTTCAATTGCTTATTTGAATGTTTGTTTATTCCTGACCTGGCCTTCTGCCATTTTAGTCTCTATAATGGGCTTTGACAGCCATCAGACTCTGCCATGAGAGCTCCTCTCATGGGCTTCTCAGCGTCTGTGGGTGGTGAGAGGGGCCTTCTTGTTACTGGAATTATAATGAGAGAAACATTTTCCTAGAGGCTCTATTTTGAATTTGGAACTTTTCTTTTTTTTATACAAATGTTTCCTGTGTTCCTTTAAAACAGTAGTTGAGTTAGATTATAGATTTATTATTCTTTTAGGAACTTTCTTGATCATGTTTCATAGTTTAATCTCAGTTTGCAGATCAACTTTTAGATACAAGTTACACATAAATTGAGTAGTTCTGTAATGACCTCTCTCTCTTCTAGAAATATAAATGGTATGGAATAGAGATATAATAGAATTGTGAATTTCTTCTGTTTTTCTATTCAAAAAGTTAATTTATTCTACAAATGTTTATTGAGTGTCTACTATGTACCAGATACTGTTCTAGGTGCTTTTTATACATGGTGGAACAAAACAGAGATGATCCCTGACTTTATGGAGCTTATATTTCTAGCACAAGGGTTGGGAACTCCAGCCTGAGTGCTAAATCCAGCCTGCTGCCTGTTTGTGTACACGAAGTTTGATTGGAACACAGCTACACCCATTTGTCTATGTATTGTCTTCAGCTGCTGTCATGCTACAAAGGCAGAGTGGACAGTTGCAGTAGAGACTATATGATCTGCAAAGCCCAAAATATTGTATTTAAATTGAAACATAAAAAGTTTTCATAAGCTTTTTTAAGTTTGCCAACCCCTGTTCTAATAGATGTCACTAGAATATTTCTCTCCCATTTCTTCTTTTGGAAAGCCAGACTCCTGATCCATGTGACTGATTGGATTCCTTATTACATTTATTATATCCCAGTTAAAAGATTCAAATTTCATTGCATTATTGAAGATAGCTTTAATTCAAAGGTAAAAACATGTCTACAGTCTTTTTCTTTCCCTTGCTGGTGAATTGGGCCAGACAATATATTAAAAAACAAAACAAGAAAACAACCGCCTCCCATGTCCTATTTACTTCTGTCTTTTATGAACCTATAGAAAAAGATATCTAACATACATATATCTTTTCACTTCTCATATCATAATTTCCAGTGCCATTAAATATTCTTTTAGAACATGATTTTAATGGCAATTGAAAATATTTCAAAGTAGAAATTTTAAGAGAAATATATTATTCTCCATTTGCTACACTGTATATGCAGTTTTCTTACTAGTAAACCATCTAGTACCTATTTTAAGTTTGTTTCTTAAAACCTGGATAAGTACCTGAATTAAGTACCCAGAGTGTTTTAATATTTTAACTTAACCAATATGGACAATAAGAAACAAATACACATCCTTGTAGGAATGGTAGTTGGTATATTCAACTTGGAAGCATTTCAAAAATAGCAACAGTTGCCTTTTTTTAAGTCACCACATAGTGTTGTGTCTGAGACTGTTTGAGAGTCACAGCAGATGAGGAATGAGCCAAATGACCTCTTGAGGTCCCTCTTAGCTTTAGGATTCAATAATTACGTGGATGGAATTGTGAAGACAACTTGAGTATAAGAATAATTCTAAAGGAGGTCACTTTTTAGGCTAAAAAGCTTTCCAGTGTCTTTTTAAAATGATAAAAGTGTTTCTGAGGAGGAAGTGAACAATCTTGAGTTATTTTAACATTATTTTTATTCTGAAAGAACCTCATTATACTTCTTTTAATAGCTCTATGTCCTTGGTAGTTTCATAAAGTACTTTACCTGTTTCATTGGGGGTACGGTGATTGTTTTTCACAGTAGATTCTTGGCTTTTAGTAGAGATTCACATATTTGTAATTCATTCTGATTCTTTGTTGATGTATGTTTTTCTTTGCTGTGTGAATATAAGCTTCTCTTTTTATGTCCATTTTGTTTACTTTCTCTGAGTCATTTGGTTTCTTTTCAGTGTAGTGTGAAGTTCATGGAAATATACAAGGGAAACAGATCTGAATGTTCATTGCAGAGGAGTTGCAATGATATTAAATAACTTGTCAAGAAAAGTGGTCATTTTTCACAAGGCTATTTTATTGAGATTTCATGTGAATTCTTCCTGAACTTTATTAAATGTTGTGATTTTTAAGATTAATTTTGTGATAAATATAGCAGTTGAAAAACATGTAGCACATTTAGGGACTGATTTTTAAAACTAAGAAAAGTCTATCTCAAGGAAAATTTGGGTTTGTCCAGAGACCTTCAAACTCAAGAACAATTATAGGAAATCAGGAGTAACATCCGGAATGTTAAAAGAGGAAAATTCAAATACTACTGTTTTTCTACCATCAATAAAATTTTTTGCTGTAATTCTGTCAGTACCTTTCAAGAGTGGTACCAAAGTTCCAACTCCTTTCCCTCTGGCTGGTCAAGGCAGGAAAAGGAGAGTGCTAAACATGCATGCATTTTGGTACTAGAGCCTTTGCTATGCTTACTGACTAACAACTCTTCTAGCAAGACGGTAGGTTTTACCTTTTGCAGCCTGCAGTGAGAGAGCAGAGAAGCTTGTGACAGCAGCTGTTCTTTGTGTGGAAGTAGTAGTGTGTTCATTATGCTGTCTTGGCAATTATGCCATAGGTTGTTGAGCCTTGGTATGCATATTAGTTTCCTATTGTTGCTGTAACAAATTGCCACAAATTTAGTGGTTTAAAACAACAGAAATTTATCATCTTATAGTTCTGGAGGTCACAAGTGTGAAATGGGTTTCACTGGGCTAAAATCAAGGTGCTGGCAGGCCTTCATTCCTTCTGGAGGCCGTAGGGGAGAATCTGCTCCCTTGCTTTTTCCAGCTTCTAGAAGCCACCTGCATTCCATGGCTTGTGATCCTTTCCTTCATCTTCAAAGCTAACGGCGTAGGATCTTCCAGTCTTTCTCTGACTCTGACCCTCCTGTCTCTCTAAGTACCCTTGTGATTACATTGGTCCCACCTGGATAACTCAGGCTACTCTCCCCATTTCGAGATCCATCACTTAATTGTATCTGCAAAATCTTTTTTGCCACATAAGGTAACATACTCGTGGCAAATAGGGAGTTACAGCATTGACATATTTAGTGGGCCGTTATTCTGCCAAACACAATAAAATAAAAGGCATAGGCACTGTCATCACCAATTGTTTCCTCGAGTTCTCTCTCCCTCAGAGTAACTGTCCTTTAGTTGTTGATGTATTTCCGTAACATCGTTTGAGCTATTCAGATTCGTGTTTCACACATGAAGATCTACTGCAGATAGCAAAAATATTCTAATGGAGCCTTCCATTCTTTATTCTTAGACCACCAGGTTTGCACAAAGTACTATTGTATAGGAGACAGAAATGAAAGTAATGTTTGAATAATCTTCTCTGTGCCAAGCATTGGGCTGTGCGCTTTATGTGCATTTTCCTGTTTGATCCTCACAGCAAACCTCTGAGCTCTTCATATTTCTCATGAGACTCAGATGTTAAATAGCTTGCCTGAAGTTACTTAGTTATAAGAATCAGAGCTGCGATTAGAGCCTCGTCTGTCTTTTTACTTTATTTTTTCCTATAATTGTCTTCCTATAATTGTCTAGGTCATACATGTTTATCATATTAAAAAATGTGAAAATATGAAAAAATACAAAGCCACAAAACAGAAGCCCATTTCTCTACATTTTATGTTACATACTATTTTGTGAACTGATTTTTTTACTTATGCTTTTCCTATAACATGAACAACTCTTTATAAGCTCTAATTTTAATTGCTTTATACTATTTCAGTATAACCACTCTCCTTCCACCATACCATACTATTTCTTTCCAAGTCTTGCCTTCTTGAGGACAGAATACAAAATATATATAATTAAGAAGAAATATGTGAGTCAGGGCCAGAATGAGTAAATGCTGACTGTATGAGGGAATTAGAGAGGAGAGATATTACTATAAATTGACCCACCTGAATAATTTTTAGTGACAGAATTGGGGCTTCAAGGAAAAACTTACAAGGACACAAGATCTATTTAATTGATAAAGCAAGAAATTATGGCCTTTTCCAATCAAGATAGAGTTTAAAATACTTCGTATGTGTGTATGTAGAAAGAAGGAAGGAGGGAAAAAGAGAGGGAAAGATAATAGTTAGTCCTGGAGATATTTTGATAACTAAGTATTGCTATGTCCATCTCACCAGTTAATAAAAAATTATGATTGTTCAAGTTTAATTTATCTTTGATAAATAAATACTAGTAAAGTCTTAGGGATATTATTAAACAAGCTCTAAGTATCTATCTAGGCCCCTCTTCCTATTCTTCATTGTGAAGAAAATATAGGAAATCATATCCTTATTCTCTATTTGTGTAGTCTAAGGAAAGTTATTCTGCAAAGTTATTCTGCTATTATATAAAAAAAAAAAATACCTTTCTTTCCTGTTTTCCCCAAAGACAGGAAAATAATTGGTTTTGATTGTAATTGCTAGGTATTGTGAAGATTTATCTGGCTGAAAGACTGCCAAATGAAATGTTTTACTTAGAAAAGTTAGGTCATTGCTTAAGTATCTCTAAATTGGAAATTCATTGTATATGTTTGTCTTGAGGGATGCGTAATTACTGTCATGTCAGAGAGCAGGAAGAGAGATTAAACATAACTTTCTGATTTCATGCTGTATTCATGTGTGATTTATCTGTTTATTTAGGTACCCAGAGGCTTACCTTACTTCTCTGTGGATTTTGGCCTCCAAGGAGGATTTGCCCATGTCATTGAAGATCAACACAAATTTCCTCATTACTTTGGAAAGGTATGCTCACAAATTTAATAAAATTCCAGAGTTTGGCAATTTGGTAACACATTCTTTGAAGGGAAATAAAAATTTTGGGCACAATATACAGTGGAATTGGTGAGTTCTGTTCTACTGAATTTTTAGAGGGAGAACCTAGTAACTATTTATACAAACATCCCAGAATATTTGTAACAGTTGAGAATGCCACTTTGGAACCAACCATTTGTTGACAGTGTCAACAGTGACTGTGATGTTTTCCTGTGGAGTCAGCCAGTCTTGTACTGAGAATGATAATTGCTAACATTTATTGAGGGCTTACAATGAGCCAGGTACTGTTCTGAGCACTCATTTTATGCTCACAATAACTCTATTATGAGATATTGTTATTACTTTATTTTACAGATGGAGAGACAGCTACAGAGAGGCTATATAACTTGCCCAAGGTCAGGCACTAATAAGGGACGGAACCAGGGATACATACACTCATAGTTGAACTAGAGAACAAGTCATCTCACCTCTTCATTTATAATTAAGCACCATATAGTCCAAGAAGAATATATGACTCATTTCATACTGATAATTTCTGGGCAGATATTAGAGTGTAGATCTTTCATTTGCCAGTCGATTCTTTCCATTACAAGAGATTGCCTTCTAAGGGTATAGTTCTTAAGTTGAAGGTCTACTGAATATCTGGGAAGTATGTGTGGTAGTATCAGGGACTGGAATGCAATTAATGTAGCCATTGAAGCAGTCAGAAGGAGTCTGGGGGATAACAGCTCTAGAAGTGACTAGTGCATCTCAGGCCTTTCTGCTCATGTCATGCTCTAAATAAGAGGAGCCTTGATGAACTCTGCCCAGGGTTCCCTGTTCTCCCTCCCCACTCGCATCTACGTAAGACAGTCTTCTACAGTGAATAGGGACGTGTCAAGAGGAATCTCAACTCCAAAGATTTGGATTCAAACTTTTTATGCTGTTGTCCTTAAAGAGTTAACCTGAGACCCAAAATCACATTCATCTTTGAACTGTTGAGATATATTACAGAAACTTGTTTGAGAATTCTTCAGAATATTTTTTTCTGGAGTTAACTAGAAAGAAGTTTGTCTTCACTGCTCTGAAAAAAATTCTGTTGTTATTCAGTAGAGCTTTATAATTGAAGACTCTATGACTCTGGATTTATTTATTTATTTTTTTAAACTTGATTCTAGTGAAAACAAAGTAAAATGTTCATTTTTTTAATCTGTGTGATTTTAATTGAGAGATTGCCCTCCCTCCAAATATTATGCATATACTATGGTTTATACAGGACTATTTTAATGTTAAAAGTAAAGCTTCTTCAGTTAGCATTGCATCACTGATCCATTTTCCCCAAAATCTGCTTTCAGGAAAAGCCTGTGAGCCCAAGAACTCCCTTCCACCTGCTACCTGAGCAGTTGCTCAGAGAGCAGGAAGGGATGGTCTCTTTCCATTAACATCTGCTTCAGTAGCAGAACAAGAATCAATCCTGTGTGGTACACATAAGACAAAACTTGATGTTTTATAGAGACAATTTTAGATGAGTTTATAAGCTAGGCGTCCTTAAACTATATTGCTTACTTGTGCTGATGCCAAGAAACTCTTTTGCATTAGATGTAAATTTACCCCATTTCTCTTGATGTCTTCTACAAACTATTTTCTCTACTGCTCCCTTTATTCCCCTTTCCCAGTAAGAGTCCCCCCCCGCCCCCCAAATTCCCTTTTCTTGAAGCTTTTCTTGATTTATCCAGCAAATAGAATCTTCTTTTTTTGAGTTTCCATATAGTCTGCTTTGGCATTTACCTTATTTTGCTTTTCAAGATAATCCTGTATATAGTTTCGGGTTATTATTCTGGCTCCTACCGCAGCTCCATATTCGGTGATGAGCTCTCTGAAGACAGACAAATGTATGTTAGTTATCTTTGAATCCCCTACAATATTTGGCACTTGCTTGTAGGTCCCCTCAGCGTATTTGTTAAGAAGAAGAACCTATGTCTTAGATTACATCCAAGATCTCACCACACAGTCCTGTGGAGCTAGACTGAATATGCAGAATTTGACCCTTAGTCCAGTGTTTTTCTATATTACCATACTGACCTCATTCTAAGCATTACAAGTCTTCTCCGTATCTTTCTGTACATGGATACTTACAGGCATATATTTGATTAATTTCTGTAGCTAACACCACAGGAAGAGGATCATGAAGGAAGTCATCTAGAATAATAAGGAGACAATCAAAATCTATTCCTTTCAGGGCTCGGGAATGTGACTTTTTAAATGAAGATGATTTATAATTTTAAATTCTTGGTTTACTTAGATTAGTATTAAAATATGATTTTGTTTCCTGAAAAATGATCTCCAGCTAATAGAAGAAACTAGTTTATAAATATACTGGATAACAGAGAGAACATTAGCCTGAGATTCAACTGTAGTTGAACAACAAAGTTAATAATTGCTACAGGTTGATTAACTTTTCTCCAAACTGTTTACCAGAGCAGCTAATAAGGACCAAATGAATTAAATTCACTTTCTCTTCCTCCCCTTTGCTGCTGTCTGGTAGATGTGCTAACAAGCAACAAAATGGACAAATCGCTTGGCCGGAGACACAGCTAGGACTCCTAGAATTACAGGGTTTGCATAGTTAGAACTGATTGAAAAGATTTTTTTTAACTTGAAAGTAATATTTATGTAAAAATTTGAACATCCTCATGGAGAACTACTTAATGTTATATTTAGCAGCAAAATAAACAGAAATAGTTTCATTCCTATTTTCAGTGTTTATATATACATGTTTGTATTTTTCTCTTTCTTTGAAAGGAAATCATTGGTGGGATGCTGGATATAGAACCAAGACTTTGGAGGAAAGGGATCCGAGAGAGCTTTGAGGATCAGAGGAAGAAAGCCCTTCAGTTTGCTCAGTGGTGGAAACCATTTGACTTCACCAAAAGTAAAAAATGTTGAGTCATACCTTTCATTTTTTATTTCTTCTTCCGTTTCCTTTCAGTTTTATTTCCATGGCATCTAACTAAACAACTGACCTTCAGGTCATAGGGAAAGAGATTCATGCTCTGGTTCTCTGACAGCTGTACATCGTTGGATTGTGTCGTTTCCTTCCCCACCTGCTCCTGTGGACTTCATTGTACCAACTGGGGAGTAAGACTAGATATATTGGGTGACCTGCTCACATTCCTATTCTGTACCTACGTCTTGGTGTTCTGAACTGTTCAGTTAATATGCAGAAGAACTTTTCTGAAGGATTATCTAGGAAGTATAGCAAATCATTGGTTCAGAGGAAACTGAGTCCACTTCAAGGTTGTTAAGTCTATCGACTGACTTCTTTTGCATTTTCTAAACTAAGTTGGCATATTCAGTAATTGAAATTTCTTTTCATAGCATTTTATAGAAGCTCTTAATTTTCTACCAGTAGCATATATATTACTGCTATTCTTTTTATTAAAGGAAAAAGAATGTCCCCAAAGTAATAAAGAATTAAATGAAGTATAACATGTTCATGATTCATTTGTTTTTATTTATGGATTTTTAAATAGTGTCTTTGAATTTTAGTGATTTTAAAAGTAGTTGTTCCAAATAACACAATTTACAGTTGTTTGGGGTTTGTATGAAAGTTAAAAATTTTAGCAAAATCATCATTTTGGGGTTGTATTTATTATTACAAAATCTTAAGTAATGAGAGTATTCTAAGTGACAGGAGCACATTTTTTTGTCCCCCACGTGATCTAAGGTTCTTCATTTTTCTTTGTTCTTATGCTTGTTGTCAAGAGAAAACCATATACTTATAAAATATGGCCATGGTATAAGAGTGCTCCTATTTTTTTTAATATGGAAGATATTTTTGTAGTTAGCCTTTTTCAAAGATATTGGTTTCTTGGAGCTGAACTTTGATATTTTGTTATGAAATATTGAATGTCTAGAATCAGTGTGATGCATACTTTAGAGTAACTCATAACTGTAAGTAGTTATTTTTAAGCTTGGCATCTCATTATTGCTTTAGTATGTTAAAAAAGGAGAAATGTTTATGTTCTATCTGTAGTTTTTAAATTTCACATATCAGTTGAAGTTTGTTTCAGTTTCTCAATATTGGCAAATCGCTTTAAGTATATTTATCGAACAGATACTTGAGAATATTTTACTTATTGCTATTTTCAAACTCTTTTGGCTTTGCTGCAAAGTCTTAGAGGAATCTATAACATTTATTTATTCCATCAGTGAGTTAACAAATATTTGTTTGCAGGGCATTTTGTTACATGCTGGTAGTGCAAAAATAAGAAGTACTTCTTCTACCTTATTTTGTTTTACAGTTTAGTGGTGACAGAGACATGTACATAAATAATTACAGCACAATGTAAGTTCTAAAGCGAGATACATGCCAAGTGTATTCTAGTACAGTGGTAAAGGACTATTTTACACCTCTTCTGTATTCATTCTTAGCTGATGACCTTGCTTCCTGTTTTACTGGGAAAATAGAACCAGAAGGGAATTTCTGCCACATCTATCTATATCCATGCACTCTACTTTTCCTCTTGTTCCCCCCCCCCCCAAAGCCCCAGTAGATAGTTGTATGTCATAGCTGCACATCCTTCTAGTTGCTGTATGTGGGACTCGGCCTCAGGATGGACGGAGAAGTGGTGCTTCGGTGCACACCCAGGATCCGAACCCGGGCCACCAGCATCGGAGCGCGCGCACTTAACCACCAAGCCGCGGGGCCGGCCCTCCTCTTGTTAATAGTAGATAAATTATTTTGTTGTTCTTATCTGTGGCTACTTCACTTATTTACACTGAATTTCATCCTTTCTCACCTACTCACTTGCCCCTCCTTTCTCTGTAATATTAGGTTTTTCCCTGTCTATAAGATTATTTCCATTAGTATACAAAAACATTTTACAGTATATCAGCAACAAACCCGGGCATCATATCCCCCTCTGGCCTTTTATCTTCTCCAGTTGACAGCAAAACTCATTTTAAAAAAAAATCCGTTTTGGGGCCAGCCCCGTGGCTTAGCGGTTAAGTGTGCGCTCTCTGCTACTGGCGGTCTGGGTTCAGATCCCGGGTGCACACCGATACATAGCTTGCCCGGCCATGCTGAGGCGGCGTCCCACATACAGCAGCTAGGAGGATGTGCAACTACGACATACAACTATCTACTGGGGCTTTGGGGAGGAAAAGGGAAAAAAAGGAGGAGGATTGGCAATAGATGTTAGCTTAGTGCTGGTCTTCCTCAGCAAAAAGAGGAGGATTGGCATGGATGTTAGCTCAGGGCTGACCTTCCTCACACAAAAAAAATCTGTTTCTTCTCGTTTCATTTACCTCTTATTTTCAGTGTAGTTAGACTTCATCCTCACCATTCTACTAAAACTCTTTATGTCGGGGTCCTCGGTGAACCTTCCACATTGGCACATTGGGGAATTAATGCTCAGTGCTTATCTCACTCTTCCTGTCAGCATCATTGACATACTTGATCACTTTCCCTTCTTGACACACTGTTTTTTACTTTGCTTCTAGAGAGCGTCTCTTATTTATTGTCCTTCCTTACTGGCTGCATATCCTCTCAGTCTCCTTTGCTGGCTCCTCTTTATCTTCTCAACTTCTAAGTGTTGAAATGCCCATTCTCAAACCTTATCTTTTCTCTACTATAGGTAAATCTCTGCCAAGGTAAATCTCATCACTAAAATGATCTTAAATACCATTTTTAAGTTGATTCATGTTTTCAGCAAATATTTGAGTATCTTCTATATACCAGTCACTGTTCTGCATGCAGGGGATACATTAGTGAATAAAACAAAAATCTCTGTCTTTGAGGAGTTTACATTATATCAGGGAAGACAGACAGTAAAAATTAGACATAATAAATAAATTATCTAGAAAATGTTAAGAGGAGATAAGTACTATGGAAAAAGGAAAAGTAGAACAGGACAAGGAAGATGTCTCCCAAATTTAAATCTTCACTCTGGACCTCTTCACTGAATTCCAGAATCACATATCCAAATTCCAACTTGACATCTCTAGTGTATCTGTATCTGGAATGGTCATATCCAAACTGAACTCCTTTGACAGTTATTTACAACAACCATTTTATTATATCTCATGGTTTTATACTTGAGGAATTTGGTCAGGGCTCAGCTGAATGATTTGCCTCTGCTACTGATGTCTGGGACCTCAGCTGGAGTGGCTCAAACATCTGGAGATGACTGGGGCTGTATGTCTAGGGCCCCTTGCTTCATATGGTGTACGTTGGAGCTGAAATAGTTGAAATGGCTCTTTCACTCACATGTCTGGTGCCTATACTGGAATGACTGGAACAGGTAGGGACTTGCTGTTAGTACTCTCTTTTCCTATGGCAATTTCAGGGTATTTGGCCTTGTTATATGGCTTCTGGCTTCCTCCAGAGCAACCATTCCAAAAGATAGTTCCAAGTGATAAGAGGTGGAAGGTGCCAGTCTCTTAGGGTCTGGGCCTGGAAATTGGCACAGTTTCATTTTTGCTGTATGCTATTTGTCAAAGTTGTCACACAACTGACCTACATTCAAGAAGAGGGGCCATAACCCTACCTCTTGATGGGAGTAGTATCAAATAATTTGTGGCCATCTTTAATCCACTACAGTACACCCTCTAGTCATAAATTTACACTCCTCCCGTGTGAAAAATATATTCAAATCCTCCCAAGAAAGTTTCATCCCAGTAGGGCATTACGCTTAGGCTCAGATTCACCTAAATCAAACCCAGATGAAGATGAGGTTAGTCAGATGCTTCAGGATCTGAAGACCAAATTTGAGACAAATTACTTGGACCTCTTACACACAGACATATACACATACAGACACACACACCAAACGTACAATAAGAGAAGCATACACAACCACAGTAGACACATTGATTGAAAAACTTGAGGCACATTGCAGTCACTGTTCACTAGTAGTACTAAAATTAAGTCGAGCATGTGTTGCCAGTTGCTTGATTAGGGCCCCCGTCCTGCTTCTTGAGATGGATTCCATGGGACCCTTTGCTCTGCCCTGTGTACTCTTGGTTCAATCCTGAGTCAGCCTTTCATTTTCATAAGAAATACCTCAAGATTTATGCTTCCATCCCAGATGAAGTAACCACATTATCTTCCTGCCAAAAACAACCAAAAAATTAGACAACATATATAAAACAGTGGTTTTCAAGACATGGGATATTAGACAAGAAAGTACAATGATCCCTAAGAGACAGGAAAAAAATGAGATGAGTCCTGTGACTGCCCATCTTCTTGCTTTGAGGGAGTTTCCATTTTGTGGTACAAAATGGGGAAATCCAGGCAAAGCCTATTGAACTAACCAAGTTGAGGAAATAGGGCTATGAGTCTGGGAAGACCAAGACAACAGGACTGGTTACTAGAGAGGTTTGCTGCACAGCGAGAGAACTCTAGAGATCTTTAGAGGAACCCCTTCAAATATCTGAGCACTGATTAGTGCATGCATGTGAGGAAACTACCCCAGGCCGGGCAAAGACTGACCTACCTGAAAGGAGGAGAGGTAAGATTTCCCACTAGCTAGAAGAAAATTTCAAGATTGACCAGGAATTGGGTAGAATACACAGAATGGTAATGTGTAATGTAGAATAGTTATCCCAAGACTTAGCACTGATCTAGTCTTGACAAACAAATCTTAAAAGCAAGAGGCAGAAGAATCAAACTGTTTCCAAGTAACTTAACTGCATCCCAGAACAAAGCTCAAAAATATTTGTAGGAATAAAAGTATGTCCAGTAATCACAGCATAAAATTCAAAGTGTCTGGCATCTGGTCAAAAATTACCAGGCATGCAAAGAAGCACTGAAATGGTAACTACATGGGTAAATATATAAGAGTTTTTTCTTATTCTCTGAATTTCTTTAAAAGACATTTTGCTATGTAAACAAAAACAGTGTGAGGTTTATAACGTATGTAAAGCAAAATAAATGACAGTAGCACAAATGTGGGAAGAGGAGAAATGGAAGTATATTATTAAAAGGTTATTATACTATATTTGAAGTGGTATAATATAACTTGAGTGTGGACTGTGATAAAGATGTATAATTATAAACTCTAATGGAGACCCTGAGATAAAAAACAAGCAAATAAAAGATTTATAGCAATAAGCCAACAAAGATAAAATGGAACATAAAATAGTACTCCGTCTAAATGAAGGCAGAAAAAGAGGAAAAGAGAAACAAAGTACAGATGGGATAAATAGAAAACAAATAGCAAGATGATAGATTTAAACCTAAACGTTATATCATTAATACATTCATTTTTTATTGCCACATAGCAAATCACCACACACTTAGCAACTGAAAGCAACACGCATTTATTATCTCTTGTGTGGGTCAGAAGTTCAGGCACAGCTTGACCTGGTCCTCTGCTTAGAGTCTCACCAGGCTGTGATCAAGGTGTGAGCCAGGACAGAGTTGTCATCTGGAGGCTGAACTGGGAAAAGAGCCACTTCCCCACTTATGTGGTTCTTCGCAG